GTATCAAACTAACTGGAACACTAGTTGGAATTCTTCTCCGCACTTATACTTTTGTTCTTTCAGTTAGCCTACTAATACAGATGCAATTGGAAATCAAGCATGGACAACTCACCGGCACATACGTTATTTGATTTCATAATTTAGACCAAATATAATACCACTTTTAACATTTCTCTAATATTGGCTGTTTTTAATATTCCTAAACAGGAAATGTTATTAACCCACGGATATCACTACGTATCTTACGGCACTTTATTAAAATATCCTTATACTGAATCTTTTTATTATTATTATAATCCCACTTTGCTTAGCTCGAATAATATTTACCTAAATTTTCATTTTAATCGTGTTAAACATGCAATCAGATATGTTAAAATTACTACATGTATTTCCCGACCAGATGCTGCTGCCTTCTTTTCGATTTATCTTCCAGCTTATCAATACCCGGAGGGTTCGTATTATTCTTGGTAACCTCCAGTGCGCGACAATCCCACTCAAATTGGTATCGAACCAACGTCACGTTGATTCTGGTGGGAGAGTAGTGTAGTGGCATCGAGCCGTAACACGAGACAAACTGGAAAATAGACATTCAACATTAAACGCTGGGAAATACCGAACAATGAAGAAAGGCGGGAACAGTGAATTGAATTAGTCCGAGTTGATCGGATGGCATGGCTCGGCCTTGCAGGCGTGGTCCCAGCTGAATGTTATCTTGTATCTTCTATTCATATTAAATATATTCTATCTCTAGCCTAAGCTTGTTCTCTATCACGTATTGGTAATTGTTACAATGCAATGAGTCGGTGTAGACGATGATGTAACTTCCACGTAAGATCTTATAGATTAGGCAGTTACATCATGATAAATCTACAATTTTAGGATTAGGTCTATTATTAGAGCAGTGCTAATATCATAGTAGACCGTAATTCTACAGGACCATTGCCACCATCGCACGGGTATGATCACATACTCACGCGCATCGGTCGTTTCACAAGATGGCCCGAAGTTATCCGCATCACGTCTATTACGTCGGTGATAGTTGCTGACCGCTTCGTAGAACCGTGGATAGTTGAACGGTTGAACCTCAGCTGTCACGACTGACCGAGGACAACAATTCCAGTCCGCATTATTCTCCTCACTGGCCCGGCTGCTTGGTACGGAACGCATACGCACTACCGCCTACCACCCGGCATCACATGGTTTAGTTGAACGGTTTCATCGCCAACTTAAAAGTGCTCTTCGAGCCAACGAAAACAACAATTGGTACGAAACCTTGCCGCTCGCCTCTTAGGTATCAGAAAGAGCTTGAAGGCAGATATCCAATGTTACGCCGCTGAACTTGTTTACGGCACGACATCGCGTCTGCCTGGGAACTTTTTCACACCACGGAGCAGTAACGATTTCGATAAATCAGACTACGTCCAACGACTGTCTGAATTTATGCGAACACTGCCTCCAGTGTCAACTCGAATACAACATCGACAGGTCGCTCTCCCTCGAGAGTTATCTACCTGTTAACATGTTTTCATACGAGTAGATTTGGTACACAAGCCTCTGCAACAGCCTTACGAAGGACCTTTTCACGTGATTTCCCGTCACGAAAAGACCTTCAAGGTTGATCGACATGGCCGCGTCGAGATTGTCAGCAATGATCGTCTCAAACCAGCACACGTCGATGGCAGTGCCTTACTTGATAAGTCGAGACTCAATGCTAGACCTATCAAGCTTAATAGCGAGATCTTTACACCTATTTCATATCCCACACTAGATACATCAGAGACCTCATTCTCACGTCCCGGCCAACAGCACGTGTCATCTGCACCATCTACGGACGAGACTTCCGTCTCACGTCCGGATCAGCAGACCACGTCGCCCTTGACTTCGGATGCGGTTTCATGCTCACGAAGTACAAACGAGACTACCATCTCACGTTCCGGTCGCCGAGCAAGACTACCTGTACTCTTTCGCGTCTAACCTCTCAATAAGTTGTGACATTTTCACAAGATCAAGCCCAGGTGTAGCTTTAATTGTGGGCGACTCTTATTAGTGATCTGAGTACAATTTAAGAATATTAAATCGTATCATTATAATCTTTTAGTCAAAATGTAGCTAATAATAATTGAATTATGTATAAACCTTAATTAGTTACTGAATGATTGTAAAGTGGGAATGTACGTATCATGTTTGTCCATAAACGGGTCCCAAACAGTTACCACTCATTATTTTCGTAGGGATATAACAAATACTTTCCCCATCCCTCATAGGATAATATAAGGACCCAGCCTGTTACAGACCAGTCTCACTACTGCCAATATAGTTGAATGTAACTGAAAGACTGATCAATAAACAAATTACAAGACAGGTTTCATTGACCTACTTCTATCTTGGCTTAAAAATTACCTGGGGAACAGGATGTATTATACCAAAGTAAATAGATTGCACGCTAGCTGGCAGCTTTTGATGTCAGAGGTTTCATAGCAGACTAACTTAAGTTCACTACTTTTTCTGGTCTTTATGAGTGGGTCTCTTGATAAGTTAATTTGGATGCAGTGAACTGCTCCGTAGACGAGATTTGAAGGTCCTTAGACAACGTAAACGATTCACTTGCGTTTCTAAAAGATCAATTAGCAACTTAAGTTGGGTGGACAAGTGTTGAGGGGAAACACTTTGGTAATGTCAGGATATTATAGCTGAAGTATTGACTTACATCATTAATTTGTGTAGAAATTATGTTTTCTGTTATCCTATATTTAATTTTAGAAGCTTTGTGTGTTTAAAACCATAACCTCGCGCCTCAACTGTTCTGTTCCATGATATGGATGAAAACCTACTACAACCACCAATTCGGCTTCTTCCAAATAGAAAATGTGAGTTACATAACAGTAATAAAATCTCATAATTATAGACGAACAAGCAGTAGACAATGTGCTCAGACTTATCCGTCGAAATTTTACATCATGAACATTCTGTTCCATGGTGCAGAAACAATTTATATCTTCCGTGAAAATCCGCTTTTAATTGTAACCCCAGAGTGTAATCCCGGGCTAGTAAACACAAATAGCTTAAGCATCAATTCAGACTATATTGAAAATTCAACCATGACAAATGCAACTCTTCACTATATACGAAAGAAACTTGGCGCAAGCACCTCAAAATCTAATACTTTTCAAAAGTGGCCTGATGACAAAATACAATATGCCAAGTACACTGAGTCACTTCAACACGAACATCCTACCAGAAGATTACCATCACACTACTCTAGACAACTCTCGAAAAAATGCACGTCGAAAAGTGAAAGTTCGGACAAAGTCCCTACTTTTATTATTATGAGTTGCTTACATTCGTAGTGTTGTCCCAGCCAACTGATCGCAGTCTCTTCGTTGTGGAGCTTTCGGGAGTTACTTGATGTACAGTACTTAATCGTGAGTTACAATATCCCACGTGGGCTTGTTTGTGCCTGGTCCATGTCTCGAAGCTTAGGTTCTTTTGTCATTATACCATTGCACCGGCATATTTTTATCTCGTTTTTTATTGCCTCTGTTTTCCCTTTTGTTCTTACACTTCAATTTTCTCATAGTGTCTGCATTTCTAGCTGAGTAACATATTTAGATCTTAAGACAAATGTCTTCTCTTAGCATTCGATTTCTCGCCATCTAATTTTCTATATTAAGAACAACCAACCTCCTGCCTGGTAGTGTGTTATCTCTTGGTATATAGAAACCTCAATATACTGAGACAAACTCTCTTACTGAAATTACAATATATGCTAACCCATAATAAAATGGCAAAATGACTATATTTAACGCAGTGGAGTGGCTAGACGCCTCTCATTCAGGATTGACAGAGGCCTGAAACCGCACAAAGTCGACAAGAAGAAAGTTCAAATAAACCAATCAGCCTATACAAGTTAGTCACAGGGTAATTGAAATCGGAGACCCGCAATTTATAAGCCATTGCGGTACATTACATAATATTGATGAGTGAACTCTAGAGACGAGTAGATCGGGATCGAGAGAGTGAGTAATAACCCTGACCAGGACTAATATAAAGACTGGTAATAATCTTTTGGGCTTTAATTCAGGCTGGAGAAGTTGTCGTAAAATCGTTGCCGTTATTTTAAGTTCGTCTATATATATATATATATATATATATATATATATATATATATATATATATGGTTGGTGTTTATTGAATTCAAGTGATATGGCCCAACAGCCAATAAGGTGATATTTTTGGCTGGTTAGAGCTTGTAACTTTGACTATTGTCTAAGTTATAATCACAGTTAGACTGACTATATATAGTCAGTTCAACTGTTATAACCTACTTATTCTGGAGAGTTTAGTTATGAGTGCATAAAGCCTTTTCTTGTGTTTCAAGCCTAACTAAAGTAGTTGTCCTTTCGGTTGCCTAATTTTCAAAGTCGTGTGAAAGGAAATTATTAGGAATTAGTACATATCTACCTGTTTATGCAGTTCATTATGCTTTAAAGCCTACTCTTCAAGCCACTCGCCTATGGTTGTATTGTAAGATACAGTTCCCAGTAATACTACATTATGGGTGAGATTATAGTCAGGTATAAGATAACAGATCGCGGATTTTAGCGTGTAATCCACTCATCCATTTAGCTAAATAGCGTTCCGACATTTTAGCTTATATCAGTTTGTGATGAAAACAATAAATCTAATTCCTAACTCTAACCATCAACTGTAATTAACAACTAATTCCTCACACTGGTTTACAACCCTCATTTGGTCCTACTTATGGGGTGGACACTCAAGGTCACTGTTGCGTCGCTCAAATGTCCATAAATTGTAGTCTTACCGAAAAAACCGCAAACTGCCACGCAAATACATAATGTACTTTGAGTTCGAAACACTTCGCCGTTTTGAAATAAAATAGATGTTGAGATGTTTCATGTAGTATCTAACTGCAATTGTTTCAGGCGATATTGTTAGGACTTCAGTTTCAGTCTCAGTTTGGAAAGGACAGGAGGCTTGATGGCCTGTGTTAGTCCTGGCAATTGTGTTCTCTCAGTTGGTCCAACTTTCTTTTGAAATAATCTACGGATGGAGCTTCAACCACGTGTTGAGCTAATGAATTCCACTCGTTGATGATTCTGTGGGAAAGTCGATAATCAGCTGACAAGTAATTTGTTCTGGGCTTGTGAACTTTTTTGGAGTGCCCTCGTAACTTCTCTGTTTTGGAAGACAAGAAAAATGAGATCATATCGGGTGCAAATTTATCACTAAGCAATTTGAAAACTGTAATCAAGTCGCCTCTAGTTCTACGATATGACAAAAGGAATAGGTTTAGCTTGGCCAGTCGAGCATCATACGGAAGCTTCGCTTAGTTGCTGTTCTCTGGACCTTTTCCAGAAGCTCACTGTCTTTTTTTAAGCAGGGGCTAGCCGCTTGTATGCAGTACTCAAGTTTAGGACGTACGAACACTGTATACAAAGTCAAAAACGTTTTAGCGTCGACATGAGTAAAAGCCCTACGTATTGACCATAAAGTTCTAAAAGCTTTGGCGGCTATTACATGGCAATGTGCAGTAGTCTTCAGATCTTGGCTAACGATGACTCCTAAGTCATTATGTGTCTGGACAACAGGTAGCTCGGTGTTATTCATCGTGCATGTATCTGTACCTTGATGACCGTTATGCATCACAACACTCTTGGAAGTATTTATCGGCAGCTGCCAGGTATGAGACCATTTAGATAGTTTCTTCAGGTCATTTTGGAGTACTAAGCTATCACGCTTACATTGTATCGTTCTTCATATCTTGACATCGTCAGCATATAGCAAGACCGATGATGATAGTAAGCGAGGAAGGTCATTTACATACAAAAGGAATAGCACTGGCCCCAAAACTGTACCCTGGGGCACTCCACTAAGCACAGTTTCCCAGCTAGATAACTTTGAGTTTACCCGTACTCTTTGTTCTCTAGAAAAGACACTGAGTAACTGTTCATCACACTCTATTTAGTGACTAACCTTATCAAAACTATTCAGACAGCGGTATTCATATCCACAAAAGGATGATAGGCATACATTTGTAACAATGTACAAAATTGTATCCGCATTTTAATAGCAAAATAAAATGTGAATCCTACCAATAGCTTTTTCAATCATAGATTAAACTTACCCGTAACCATGGAGCCACTAAACGTACAAGGAATTCAGAGACCAAGTACAAAAACATTGACCTAAATTTGAACAAATTAAATGAAATGAGAACCTTTCCCTAGAGTTTACTTTCATCATCTTATCTGTTTTAAAATGGTATGTAGCTTAGTAAAGTTGGTATCGTAACCTATGGTGGGAAACTGAGTGACATGGCTAAGAATCGATCACAATGGTGTCGGTGTATACACTCTTTGTCTGCCCTTGAACCGTGAGATTAAAATTGCTTTATACCTTTATTTCTACGAACTAATTCTTCATGTACTATATCCTTATATACAATCCTTCTTTTGTATATACTACTACCATTGAAATTACTTCTGACTTTGGTGTTCATCTTGTTGTGTTAATGAGGTTCGACAACTTGAACCGATGCATGTACGTACCTGGTCCTACGTTGCAACTGACTGATTTAGGGATGAAAACAATATAACGACAAATAATAATCAAGTTCAAATGGTTATCAACGGAATAGAAGGAGCGTTTGCTTAAAGAACCTTTATATCTAATAGTATGTAATCGATGCCTCCAAGTAGGGACGTAGGTGTATAAAACAAGCAGAAGAGAAGTGTTTGCAATTTTGTGTGATATACTGTCCGAACTCCCTAGTAATATGTCAAGTTTTCCTGTGAAGGACTCTTAGAAAGTTGTCAGGGAATTCCAAGTCTTGACTACTCATGAAGAGTAAATTCTTAAAATGCTGTAGGTTGTCAGAAAATCACCTCTAAGTTCCCCTTACTCAAATAACTAGAGATCCATTAATTTAAGGCGTTTCTCATAAAGCTTGAGGTTGAGCTCCTAAACTGCAATTTAGTGATATGCTGATTATTTAGCTATCACCTATGCTAGTCTGTCGACAGTAACTGGATAACTGTCTGGTTAAACTTACCGATACGATATAGTCTACCCTATCAAAAACTTCGAGAAACCAAGACTTTTTAATGACCTTCCTCAAAACTATATTTTTGGTGTGAAAAGAATTTTATGGAATGGACTGCGATTTCCTAAACCATATCGTAGTCGGAATCATGGTTTTTTTTATTTAAGTCTGAATTAAATTTCACTATTTTTTGTTTAAGATATCATCTGGAGATAATTATAGCGCTCTTAGGTACATATAAGTGTTTATACTAAAAAATCACTAGCTGATGATCAGAAAAAGCAAAGGCTTCAACTCTAGGTTTTTATAATTAAAATGTGAACCTAGTTTTTGCTTCACGAAAATTCTCAACTTATATCCATAAATTCAATATAGATAGACTTTTTTTATCTAAGCAGACGACACTTGAATAGAGACATTTAAAAAAGGTATGAATATTATTATTATTTTTGTATTCAGGCCATTCATTTTGTTTAATATCACTTGGAAAATAACATTTAATTCAATAGAGTTTACGAACGTTTTCTTCCTGGTTTAGCTCTGTGATCTTAGTTAGAGGGTTGGTTTGTGGTGTGTGCTACTCATGTCGACAGACATAAGTAGTATGTATCATCAATCAAAAGTGAAATACCTGGCAGTAGAAGGTTAAGAAGATCGAATAAAAGAGAACGAGAACAAAGAGTGATTGGTGTGCAGACGAAATGACAATGAAGTCTGAGACGATTGATTGACATTTTACAAATGAAGTGTTTACTGTATGGTTCTCAGATTTTACTAAGATGTTCTGTAATTTTGTATTCAAACACATTCGATTGTCTCTACTTGTGTTCTCGTTCACTACAGGTTTACTGCTTTTTTATAGGACATGTTTTCTTATAGGATTGACTCTTCAAGAGCAACACCCATCACGCAGTTACTACTCACGGACATTTTTCCTCGATTACAAAAATCGTAGTCTGAGAACTAACAGTAAATAGTTATTTTGTATATCAGAAATAATTCCTTAGCTTATCTGATGCTTATTTAACCAAGCACAGTAGAAAATTAATTTACGTAACTAAATGCATTAATTTTTGGACTTCTGATCGCAAATAATGTAATTTGTGTCACAACTATATTCTATATATTATGTATTCATCTTTCAGTTGACTCATCTAAAAAGTAAGGCCAAAAATAATGTCAGATGACAGTGATGCCTTTGCTAGTGCAGATGAAAGTATCCATATTAGTGTTGAAGCGAACGACCCAGTGGAAAATCATCTGCAGTCTAATTTTAAAGAGAACTTTGGTGATCACGACTATAGTAATCCAAATATTTTATCTAAGCCACTTGCAAATCCAGCGTCATCGACAAAAAAGTCAAATGTAGTTAAAGCAAAAAAGAACACTGTCAAACAAACGAAACTACAATCTGTGTCCAAAAAGTTTGAAAAAGTAAGCTGAAAGTTTTTGTTTTTATTTTAATGGAATATATGGTGTCTAGATAATGAACACTTTGGAATTGAAAAGTTCTATATTAGTCTGTATATTTGTTTATCTCAAGTAAACAGATGTATCCGAATAATAAAATTGAATAGGGTCAGCTTTTTTGTGGACGATTTGGAGCCACACTGTAATGTTAATAATCATTCGCCAACAAATTTTCACTATAACAGTTATCCAACTGTTATCAGGAAATCGCAACAATTGATTGTCATTCATTAAGTGTATTATCTTTGTTCTATTTTACATGATTGTTTGGCAATGTAGTTGACTGTCGAACTGTCAGTGTGGTTTACATATTAGGGCATAGTTCATAAGTTATTACTTTGATTTACAAATTTTTAATGATTGATCAACATTCTTATGAAAATAATCGGGTTTAACGTTAACCAGTTATCGCAAGTTTTGAAAGTACTTTTTTTTCTATGGGAGTCAAGGTTAATGAAACACTGTTGAATACCAACTCAAAGGCAAATCTTGGAGAAGTCACATCTGTCGGGTTTAGCGCTAATAAAAATGAAAGACGTGACCAACAACTTACATCTTTCCGTCCTTCCAAAAAGTTTGAGGCGCCAGTAAAATTTGTAAAATCTAGAATGGAGAGAGTAGGTTCAAATGATGGGGAGAATTTCGTAGATAAACGTAATGATTTTCCGATCAGTAATAAAGAGGAACAAGTTATTAATGATGACACTAATAAATGTTCCAAAGTGAGCGAATTCATAACTGAACGACTCCCTGTAATAGCAGATATTATAAATCCCATCACATCATTTCAACTTCACTCTGAAACAGACAAACTTTCGACAGTTGAATCTTCAACAGAAGTAGATTTCATAACTTCAGCTGCTCCAAGCACCCCACGCGGTCAGGGTGATGGGATGAGTTCACTTGTTGTGCAAGGGGATGTAATACAAGGAAACCCTTCAGATGACGAGGTACTAAAACGAAGAGTTGAAATACAATCTGACGAGAAAAGCGAAAGGAAAGTAATATTGGATACATGGAACAGTGTTTGGAATACACCGTGGACTAACGACGATGATAATGGAGAGGTAGATAACGACGATGGACAGAGTGATGGCTGGGAAGTAGACTTTTTGGAGGAATCAGGATATATATCTGAATCAAAGTCAAGCAACATAAACTACTCAATGTTTAAAAATTCGAAGAGTCTTGACTCAACTAACAATTCTTCATGTGGTAGCCAGATTTCGTCAAACATAGAAAAGCGCGATGTAGAACAAAAGACAAGTAGCAGCAATTTTTCATGGGGTTGGAGTGGTCTATCTTCATTCGGCCAACAATTGACCTCTTCATTACAAGCAACTGTAAGTCGTAGAATTTTTGAGCTAACGTTTCATCTTTTTGAAACGCACATTTAGAGTATATGTTTGCAGTAATAAGTTTGTATTAATTTGCTGGTAATTATCTTTAGCTATCCTATATTAATAATGATAGTTTAAAGAGATTTCGAAGTGCTATAAATAATTATATATATATATATATATATATATATATATATAGTGGACAAAATTTTAAAATTCCTTCATAATTTAGTCACTGACACTGAAATAGTGTTGAAGTAGTGTGTGTAATTGTTCAGAGTAAAACACTGAACCAGTCCCATTAAGTTTGAGTGACTATTGATCTCAGTTTTGTATAAAAGTAATTTGACGGCCCTGTTGGGGAACACTGCCACTGACTGTGTACCTAATGGCTTACATCAACAAAATATCTGCCCAACACCCTGTATTGGCAAAGGTACCCCAACTGAATTCAATTTATGGTGATTACTGACTAAAAATTAATCTAATCTCAAAAAGCTCTTCCATCAAAGATATTCATTTAGGCTTAATAGTCTGGTTTTCCTATCGCATCGATTTGTCATAATACTAAAATGGCCTCAGATTATCTAACGTTTTAAGTTTCGTTGATAAATCATGGTTCCGATGAACAAAAGCGGCCGCGGAAACTTTTTCGACCAATACACTTTTGTTTTTAAATTTCTGGCATTGGTCTAGATAGATTATTCCCTGAGCACTCCAAACAATGTGAACTATGGTACCCATATTCGTCATGTAAGGAAACATCACTAGGACTTGTATACAATATCCTTGCTGCATTGTAATCTGCACTAAGTTTCCCCTTTACAACACCCACATCTCTGTTGTCACTATCACTACCACGGGTAAAAAGTAGACCATATCTGGTATTAGCTATATCAGCATGGTCCTTTACAAACTCAGTAAGATTGTTAAACAGGCTCTCGACCTCCTTTAATAATCTTATAAGCTACCTTTAGCCTCTATTGTTGGACGTGCTTTGGTAATTTTAGAACCGTAGTTTCAATAGTTCTGGAGGAGTTCAAATCAGGAACGTAATTCATCTGTTCGGGAGTCATACCACATGCTTGCATTTCTCGTGACAATCTTCTCAAACCGTTTGGCTGCTTCCTTATATTCGAAAAATTTAACAAGTTGCCAATAAACATACGTGCTGTGGCGTATTTTTTTGGCCAAACGTTTCCTCAAATAGCTTTAATACTTGATGATAACCTGTCACCAGTTCTAGCATAGTACAATGAAGGATAGCTGTTCTCGCTTCTGCGTCACAATACTGAATTAAGTAATTCAACCTAGCTCTGATTCCAATGTCCTCACTGCCGATACATTCTTCGAATTTTCTAATAGAATTCCAGTAATTTATTGGTGTACCATCGAATCTTAAGATTTCTCCTTTTGGTAAATGCAGATTTTTTACTATTACATTCTCGCTGTGGCTTACTGATTGACCGAAACCTTCATTTCTTTGACAGTGTAACTTTTATAGTTCAATTCCTTTCTCTAACTGGGTTACATGTAACCTGGCTGACTCTAGTTCTATCAGGTTGTTAGTTTTAGGTTCATCCCTTTCTAGTTGGTTTTCGTCATATGTTGAATTATTCTTATAGTCGTGTGAATTGGTTAAGTTTACATATTAGGTGTTAGGTTAAAGGTTGTAAGATTGGGTTATAATCCAATAAGGCTTTCGCTAACAGCTGACGTCAGCTATGGTGCAAAAAGGTTTGGGTTAGGTATTATGAATTCTGCTTGCATATTAACGTTAGGATTTTCATCATGAGCTTACGTCAGCTGTAATGAAATCATACTTTACTTGCCACTATTCTAATTACAAATTGAAAAACTTATTATTGACACTGGAAGTTAAGAGTGGAAGAATGCTATCTAGCTACACTAAACATCCTGAACTATACATTACTTACTTACTTACACCTGTTACTCCTCGTGAAGGAGCATAGGCCCTCACCAGCATTCTCCATCCAACCCTGTCCTGGGCAATCCTTTCCAGCTCTTTCCAGTTCTTATTCATCCTTTTCATATCTGATTCTATTTCTTGACGTAATGTGTTATTTGGCCTTCTTCTTTTCCTCTTCCCTCCAGGATTGCACGTTAGGGCTTGCCTCGTGATACAGTTTGGTGATTTCCGTATTGTATGTCCTATCCATTTCCATCGTCTTTTCCTGATTTCCTCCTCAGCTGAAAGCTTGTTCGTTCTCTTCCACAGAAGACTGTTGCTGATGGTATCCGGCCAATGGATGTTGAGTATCTTGCGTAGACAGCTATTTATAAATACTTGTACCTTCCTGACGATGGTTGTAGTAGTTCTCCAAGTTTCAGCTCCGTACAGTAGAACTGCCTTGACGTTCGTATTGAAGATTCTGACTTTGATATTGGTTGACAGTTGTTTTGAGTTCCATATGTTCTTCAATTGAATGGATGTAGCCATTGCTTTGCCAATCCTCGCCTTTACATCTGCATCTGACCCTCCTTGTTCATCAGTGATGCTTCCTAGGTATGTAAGGTATTCTACATCTTCCAGAGTTTCGCCATCAAGTGTGGCTGGATTGTCGTTCTCCGTGTTGAATTTGAGGACCTTACTTTTCCCCTTGTGTATGTTGAGGCCTACTGATGCAGAGACTGCTGCTACACTGGCTGTCTTTATCTGTATTTGTTCGTGTGTATGCGATAGGAGGGAGGGCTAGGTCATCTGTGAAGTCCAAATCGTCTAATTGGTTCTAAGCTGTCCATTGTATGCCGTGTTTTCGCTCAGATGTCGAGGTCTTCATAATCCAGTTGACCACTATACATTGGATCGTACTAAGTACTCTAACATGCCGTCTGCACCAAGATCAGGTATTTCTTGTAATTTGACTTGAGCACTATCTTATATTCACTGGTTGCATAATAAGTATTTATCGATTTCAAGAACCAAACAATGCTAATTTCTTACCTTGTTCATACTAACATATAAGTTGTCCTTCACTGGACGCTCAGTTTCGCCAAAAATCTATGGGGAGATATCTTAGTTCTAATTGTTTCGCTCAAGGCCGCTAGCGTAGCACACTTTTGCCCGACTGGTATTGCCATACACTTACATGGTGTGTCCTTACTTTTGGACGGACGAGTTATTCTTATTGTTCCGGTCATTTTGCCATTTATGTGTGACAAACATGTGTGCCTGAAGTACTTAAGGTCTACATGCTTGCTTGTATCTATCATACCTGCAAATGTTGAATCATTTCGACTAAATAAAGCTGGCTGTTTCTTTCATTCATGTTCACATGCATTTTTCTTGTCTCTTATCTTTCGTTCGCGTTAACAAATGTTTGAAACATGTTCCTCAATCACTTTCATATTTTGCTTCTTATATCTACATTGTTATTAACGGGCTATCTTGACAGAATGCATACGAAGTAAATTTTTTTATTATTTTTGCGATTGTTATAGAGTTTAAATTTAGTACAAGGAGGTGTCGATGTTCTGGAATTAATCGGACGTAAAACGATGTCTGTATTGGCTGAAAATGATCCTGGTTTCAACTATACCAGAAAGTTTTTACGTCCACCAAACGCTATAAATGATTGTCCAAATCTTTCTAAGGTTTGTTTCCGTATTTAAACATGGACTGTTTTTTCCTTTCGAATTTTCAGTTTTAAACACCGAACGAAATTTATGGGGTATGTTTCTATTAAGAGAACACCATGGGAGGTAGCGGAATTAAAAATCTATATTTTAGGTTATTGATCGTCAAGACGAAATTTTCTCTACTCCTAATTTTGTCCCACACCACTAATTCATCAAAGTAATCTTGCTGGACGGTCTATGTTATTGTTGAATCAGTCAGGAGAATTCATCTAATCAATTTTTCAGTGTCAGTCAGTTATACATGACGTAGAACCTAACACATTTATGCATCGGTTCAAGTTAAAATACCACAATAGCACAGAAAGATGCAATTATTTCAAGATAAGTCTCAAACTAGTAGTAGTAAAAATATCAGTAGCAGTAGCAGTAGAAAGTATGAAATACAGGAAAAAATGTATCCGTAGATTGTGAAGTGAGTGTTTAAATCACTGGGTACAGAAGGTTGTATTCTTTGTGCTTATCTGATGAGTTATAAATAAATAAAATATTTGTAATATCCGAACGAGTAGAAAAACTAGATTTTCTGACGTTTCGTGACTTAGTGTAAACCACTTCTTGAGAGAATAAATAACCAAGTTAAAATCAATCCAAGCTTAAATAGTACAACGGAACAATAAGAATAATATATGATCAATCAAAAACAGGTCTGAAAAAGGTAACTTGTTCCGTTGTACTATTTAAACTTGGATTAATTTTAATTTGGTTATTTATTCTCTGACGGAGTGGCTTACACTAATTCACGAAACGCCAGAAAATTTAATTTTTCTACTCATTGGGATATTACAAATATATTATTTATTTATAACAATCTACCCAATGCTCAATTTATTCGAAATTATCAAATCAAACCTTGGTAATGATGCCTATATCTGATGAGTTGTCTGCTTCTAGCGCAATATTAGTTGACGCGACAAAAGACGAACAGTATTTCTATCCATTTTCCTGTGCATTTGCTTATTTGTTTCAGATCTTGTGCAAGTCGTGTAAACTTGAACTTATCTCAAACTAATAATCCTCCATACTGGGCAAGACAGACAAAATATTTAGTTGTAGCACTTATTCTATGAATAAGTGAAGCGTTGACTTGATAGTTAAAATACTGTATTTCCAATCACTATGTTGTAAGTTTGAACCCCATACTTCCTACTTCGGTTCGGATTATATATAGGTCAAGTTACTAACTAAATTTTGAGTCGTAACCAACAATTAGGAATCATTGCAATCAGTTCAACATAGTAGAGAGAATATTAATTAAAGTCACTAGTTAAAGTGAAGTCAGTGAAAATAAATACATTTTCTTGATTAGTTTGTTTGGGCCCGTGTTAAGGGATCGCAATACAAGAGGGAAATTGTATTGATCTAGTCCGCATATTAAATAGCTCAACCAGACTGTCGACAGCACGCTAAATATTAGATGACAATCGGGAGTAAAACTAAGTAACCATCAGTCCAGAATGCATTTTCCCACACTCGCTCGCGCAATAACCAGAATGGGGGAACAACTCAGCAAGTACATATAATTATGAATTTCGAAATTATGAATCATTCAAATGATATTATTAGAACCAAATCCTAACAACACATCAACAGGATTAAGAAATTACGATATGGACACAACCAGGCCGCAAGTGGAGGACGACTGAGTGATGGGCCTGTAATGAATTAACAATAACTTGAGAAAGGTAAAGCACAATAAATCTGTGCGTTAAACAAAAGCTCAGTGTTAGGGGAATACCGAAAATACAGTAGTTTAATTATTTATACAACAGAAATGTGTATACACAATAACTTCAGATAGAACTATTCAGAAACTGCAAGTTTTCTTAAAATTCATCCCGATAATAGCAAAAAGTAATTTAAATTCTAAAATTCATCTGTTAAATTTTTTGTTATTCAATGATAAAATATGGTTAGGTCATATTACATAAATGTTACACTACTTTCATGAGACATAATAATGGTTGTTTTATCATTATTTTTTTAAAATAGTTGCTACGTGAAGCTTATGAATTGCATACATCAACTGAATCAAGTGATCAAAAATCCAACAAACAAAAATGTGGTGATTTCACTTATCAACTAGAGTGTTCTCGCGCGTTACTTCATTTAGAATCATTGGAATTAGTTAGTGAACAAGCCAGTAATCAATTACATACTCGTTTAGATTCTTTAACAATGGATACTACTGATAATGATAATCTACTTGAAGCAATATGGACCAATTTAAATTTGGATGAAATAGAAAATGATGATAATGATGACGAATACGATGTGGATAATCACGATCGCAGTACTGCTGCCAACAGGATTTCTCCAACATATAATTCATATGCATCGATAATGAAGAAATTCAAAACGAAACTCTCTAACGATTATAATCTTGTCAAACATGATAAATCTGACCAACAATTGCCAGAGAATTTAAGTAGTCGAACTGTTCAATTATGGTGCAAAATAACTGAAACATCTGATTGTTTAAACTCAATTTATCCAAATGGGCGATTTTTAGAAGTAAGTTTTAGGTCCGTTAGGTTTGCTTTTTAAACAAGCATGTGAATCGATTCTCTGTTATACTGTCACGAGGATTAGAATAAAGTTAACGAGTTTAAGATTGTTAAACGAAATTCGATCAGTTATACTAGTTACCAGTTAAATTATAGAGTTTGGTAAAAAATTATATATTACTTAAATTACTTGGAATTCAGACATAAAAGATTGTCTTGCCATCGTATAATTTAAAAGACATAATGTGAAACCATGACTACACGAAACGCGGTTGCTTTTTATGGTGTAAATTTTGTTGGAAGTGTAAATCAATAAACATTTGTTGTTTTTTGTTCTGTTCAAACTAGATTCTATTTAACCGCGTAATTACTAATGTACTGAATGGTAGGGACTTTTATTCAATTTATACATTAACAAAGACTTCAGGAGGTGAAGACCATGCCACTTTTATGAAAAATGTGACAGAAGACTACACCGGGTTCTTCACTGGCTTCCATTCTGGGCCACATCTAATAGCATCTCAGATCACTGAGTTGCACAGTTTCTAAGACACCGATCGGGGATTTGCAATAGACTGACATTTCAGAGTTCTATACAGCCATCCTTCAAACTCTAGGTCCAGTCCCAGCATCGACAACTACTGCGTAGTGTGGAAGTCACTAGGATAGTATCTACAAGCCATATTTGAGCCATCAACGTCGTTTCGCGATGACGTCTCCCTTTTAATTGCTATCACATCTCCCAATTGCACATTATGGGACCTCAGCCTTACTAACATGTTGGTGTCATATAATAGTAATTCTCTACATTCTGCACGAGCTGTTTTCGCTTCCGATTCCGCTTGTTCTGTTCTGTCACGCCAGGTTTTCTCATTTATAAGTAAACTTCGATTTAAAGCACGTTCTTCTTCCAAATCCTTTTGTAAACGTTGAGCTAGTGATGTTGCCTTAAAATAGATTATTTTAGAGATGTTAAAGGTTTCGGAAGCAATAGGCAAGTTTGTGCAAGATATTTATATTAAAAAGAAAACTTCATTGAATATCGCATGAATTGTTGGTTGCATTTTCGTGATATCTCAAAATAAGTTTATCTTTCATATCAAAATAAAGAAAACAAGTATTAATGTAATTACATAAGAATAAGCTTAGGGTGTGAAGTTAGAAAATGAGACCATTCAGTTTGGTTTTACTATAATGTTATACCATTCAGTTTGACCATCGTAACGTATAACTTTACCAACAGGCTACAAGTACCACTGAACTTCGGACAATAAGATGCTAGCCATCATTTGGGTATTTAGAAAACTAAACATTTAGGTTTTATTTCATACATTTTCTTTATTAAATTTGGCATGACGACTTGGGATAACACACGTTTGTGCTAATTATAACTGGTTAAAATCTGAACAAAACAAGGGAGTTCGAAAAGTAAAGTGAAATCATTTTACTTCGAGAATTGTCATTAGTTGTAAACAGCGTAGTTAGAGATAATACTATGATCCAGTCAGTCAGTTACATGTAGCATACAACCTGACACGTATTTGAGTCGAATGTCGCCCTTTTGAAGTTTCTTTCTGTATTATTGAGCGTTTATGGCGTCAGAAACGTTATTGGAAACAGCATGAATCTGAATTACTAATGGGGTGATTTAGTCGAGCTCATCGTTATAAAAATATTCGTTATCACACAAAGTATTGGTTTTTATATCAGTGTTAAAGCATGATAACCAGTAAAATCGTTGTTGGAACTATCGATATTACTAGACCACGAATAGCATAGTATTTTTACCAACCCACGCACTAAAGGATTTAGAATTTTAAAGACATACGAAATTCATCAATGAGCATTTATAACTGGAGCCAGATAAGATAGATTAATAGCGAACTCTCCTCATCCTCTACCGTACACGGACATTTAAGGGGTGGGGCAGGTAGCCAAGTGGTATATCTCTACTTCAAACAATCCGCCCATTACTTACAGGTATTTTAATTCCACAGCCTTATACACAAAGGTATATTTCACCGACGATTGACATTAGATCAAGTAGTATGGTGTAATCATGATATGCTCTTCAATTTATTTATTACACTGATTTGAAACAAACTTTATATTCTTGCTTAAATAATTAACATGCTTTTGTATTTTTCACAGGCTGTGACTAATGTTTGGAAAATGTGCGACTTCGATAAATCGGAAAAGCTATCGATTGAAGTAAGAGCATATATATATATATATATATATATATATATATATATATATATATTCCGATTACGACTTTGAAAATACTAGTTGAGCAAAGAAATATTTCTTTTCTAAAGTAGACTTTATGCTAATAATATAAGATTTGCAGTTAAGAACGAAATCACTATCAAACAAATATTGGTTAGTCAATCTACCTTAATCAATCTTAATATTTTATCTAAAATAGTTGTCAGCATCTCAACCGATGTAAAATAAGATCTAAAGATAAGATTACATTATCGATTTTTATTATATCAACTCGTTACTTGAGAATAAGAGTTAATTAAGCAATTGAATGTAAATATTTATTGTTATTTGTGAAATTAATTGATATGATGGAATCAAAAGAGCAAGATTATGTCATTTTGAACATTGGTCAGCATGTTATTACAAATATATGTTCACATAGCAAGTTAATGATTAATCAATGTCAAGCAGAACTGAGTTCAAATTATGCGAATTCGAATCTTAAGATAGCTGTGAATAAATCGTATAAAAAGCAACATATCAGCTGCAACGTTGGACCAGGCACATATATGCATCGGTCCAAGTTGCTATACCGCATTAGCACAACAAGATGAACACCGGATTCATAGAAGTAGTTAATTCAGTTGTGGTAATATATAGAAGAAAGAGTGTGTATAAGGAGATAGTACAGGAAGATAGAATTAGTTCCTAGAAAGAAAGATTTGAAGTGATTTTAATCTCTTAGTTTAAAGGAAGACAGAGAGTGTATACACCGACGCCATTGTGATTGATTCCGAGCCATGTCACCAAGAGTCTCCAAACATTGGTTACGATAGTCACGCGGACCCCAACCAAGTAGTCTGCATTTACCAACATCGCTAAGAATAGAAGTTAGCGACTTCAAGCACTGATGTCACGTTTTGGTTTGGCCACGCCTAACTTTCTTCCAACCATCCCCAACACTGGTTAGCATTGGACGACGTGGTAATCGGTGTTCAGGCATACGCAAAACGTGACCCAACCATCTCAGTTGATGAAGATTCACAACCTCATCAGCTGATTTACCATCATCCCCTAATACCCTATGTTTAACCTTACAATTACTTACCCGATGATCCCAGAAGATTCGAGAAATATTTCTGAGGCGTCTGTGGTCAAATACTAGTAGCTTACGAGTATCGTCTACTCTTAATGGCCACGTTTCGCAGCCGTAAAGTAGAAGAGAACGAACTGCCATACAGTATACTCGTTCCTTAATTGATAGACAGATATCTCGCCTTCGCCATAGGTCATGTAGGTTGGCAAAATCCAAACGAGCTTTCTGAATGTGTGCTGAGATTTCGTCAGACACCAACCCAATAAGGCTGATCAGACTTCCAAGATGGGTGAAGTTGTCGACGCGTTTAACTACTTCACTCCTTATCCGTAGTCCAGGTGTTGACGCAGACCAGTCCTGAAGCAACAACTTGCATTTAGAGGGAGAGAAGCGCATCCCAAACATCCTGGCATTGTTGCTCAGTGCTACCAAAAGACTGCATTTTATCAGCGTCTTCACCAAACAGGACTATATCATCTGCGTATTCTAAGTCAATAGGTGGACCTCCTGGTAGGAGATCAATACCTGAGAATTCAGTCGATGAGAGCGTTGTTTCCATCAGTAGATCTATGATGAAGCTAAACAAAAATGGAGAAAGTGGACAGCCTTGATGGACGCCACTTGAGGTTGCAGAAGCAGATGAGAGTTCGCCATAAGCTCTGACTCGACTAGTAGTGTTCGAGTAAAGAGCCTTCACAAGGTTTATGTACTTCTGAGGTACGCCTTTCAATGACAGACACTGCCACAGAATCTCGCGGTCTACGGAGTCAAATGCTGCTTTTAAGTCAAAAAACCACCATTATCGGACGCCGATAAGTACGCCTGTGTTCTAGAACCTGACGAATGGTGAATATGTGGTCGATGCAACCACGACCAGGTCTGAAGCCTGCTTGATTCTCTCGTGTTTGCAGTTCACGAGTCCTAGTTAGGCGTCCGATAATTATCGAGGCTAGTATTTTAGATACTATATTAGTTAAATTAACCCCTCTATGGCTGTCAGGGGATGATTTTGACCCTCTCTTATATATTGAGACGATAAGTGATTGTGACCAGGTGTGGTGGATGACACTTAATTATGCTTATAATATAACTGTTAGTACTATATACAAGTTAACTACTAATATCTGCTATTTAGTGGGGAAATAGGTGTATCTTTTGGTATCAGATACAAAATATCTCACTTCTCTTAGGTCTTGTTAGTAGGTTTGTTTTTTCGTAGTTCTTAGTCCTTTACCTACGCTTGTAAGGTATTTTAATATGATTTTTTAACTAGTGCGAATTCGCGTGCTATACTTTGAGTCAGATTTTGTCCGTCTCTGATTGTCTAAACCGATTTTGATGGAACGGCGTTTGAACTTAGAACCCCGCGATAGAAAATCAATTGTTATAACTACTAAGCTATCGTGCTACACATTGAATCTTGTACTCGGATACCTGTACGTGTAAACGTCTATACTTGACGAAATATATTATTGAAACCTTTTACTAAAATTTATGCTGATTAATTGTTCTTGTTCTGTTGTTATTCCTTACAGGAAATTTACTTTCAATCAATTTCTTCATTAGCACAATTCACTTCGGCCTATTTAGAATATTTACATAAATTCTCCGAGTGTATTTTAGTTCACATACATAAGACTGATATAGATTTTGTAGAATTATCACAAATCTTAGCTTGGTAAGTTTATTTATTTAATCTATAAACGATAAAATTATAATGTACTGACGACATTGAGCGACCTACCAGCCAATCAGGAAACACTGCCTAGTTACGAAAGGATTAGTGGCAAAACGCAGTATTATAACAATTGAATAAGAGCTTCGATTTCAATAATCAACCCTCACATGTCGAATTCTTCTTTTCAGTAAAAGAAGACAGTTAGGTCTTGCAGAGTAGTAGTTGGGCTATTGTTGTGAGTTAGGACTATCACCACATTCAGTTCTCATCACCGACTAACACCAGAGATAATGTAAAAAGATTAGGGTTATTTACTTTTGTCGTGTATGTTACTTATGTCGATAGACAATGCGAATAGGAGAACATCATGGGAACGTCTTTGAAACTATGGTTTACCTGAGAAAATGGTCAACACAAGATCAGTACAAGACTGCCGCTCCTTTTGGAGTACCTATCTGGACTCTGATCATGCTCTGGTCTGCGCCAATCTTACCTTACTTTTCAATGGCCAACGAAGTGACCGCCACCAAAGGATTGATGTCAGCAAGTTGGTTGCGACTTCTGTTGCTATTAAGTGTCGAACAGCTTCTAGGCTAGCTACAATTCCACCGCTTGCGGCTTCGCGAAACGTCCCGCTTATAAGCACTGGGTTTATTCAGGCTCCTTACAACTCATCGAAGTCCGTCGGTCTACTCCGAGTAACCGTGAGTTTGACCACAAACCACAACTGTTACGTAATGAAATTGAGCAAACCTTGCGTAAGGACCGAGAAACCTGGTGGTCGGAGCGTGCTAGTGAGTTGGAAGCGGCAGCTGCATCTGGTAGCTACCGGAAGCTCTTCCAACCCATCCGAGCCGCTGGCATCAAGAAGTCTGGTGTGAGCGAAACAATCTGCGACGGTGACGGGATGCCAATCACTAACATCCATCGACGTCTTGGACGATGGGCAGAGTTCTTCGAAGGGCAGTCCAACTGGCCTACTGCTCGGCAACACCGATCAGACTGTCCTACCCTCCATGACCGGTGACGACTGACCCACCAAATGAGGTGGAAGTCCGCAAAGAACTCCAACTCTTGAAGCGCTACAAATCACCCGGCCCAGATGACTTACCTCCGGCTCTTTTCAAAGATGGTGGTGACTTTCTGGCTAAGGATCTGACTGTGTTGTTTACAAAGGTCTGGGAACTAGAGAGCGTACCAACGTCATGGAATGAGTCGATAGTTGTCACTATCTTTAAAAAGGGTTCACGTCGTTCCTGTAACAACTATCGGGGGATAAGTCTACTTCCGATTACGTCCAAACTATTGGCTTCCGTCACACTTCGTAGGTTGTTCAAAACCCGAGAAAGATTGGCTCGCGAGGAGCAGGCTGGGTTTCGTTCTGGTCGAGGATGTATTGATCATATCTTCACCCTCCGCCAAATGTTAGAACACCGCCATACTTATCAAAGGCCAACAATCGTAGTGCTTCTTGACATCAGGGCTGCCTTCGATTCGCTGGACAGGAATATTCTCTGGGATTGTCTATTGAAGAAGAGTGTGTCTGAGAAGTTTATTAACATCCTAAAAGCCCTATATACAAACACCTCAGGTAAAGTGAGGGCATACAACCACCTCTCTCCATTGTTCCATCCTAGCAGTGGAGTTAGGCAGGGTTGCCCAATCTCACCATTCCTCTTCAACTTTGCCATCGATGACATTCCGGAAACAGCTCTGATGGATGTAAGTAATGGTGGTGTGGATCTGTTGCCTGGAGAAAGACTTCTCGACGTTGAGTATGCGGATGATATTGTTTTACTGTGCGATAATGCCCAAGCCATGCAATCCGCACTTAATATTATTATTAATTAATTACAGTACCTAACACTACCTTACAATAATCTGGTCGTTATATTTTTTCTCTATTACTCTCCTTACCTTCTTTTCTCTCCGTATTCTCATTGTTTTGTGTGGTGCATATATATTTGGTGTCCTCTTATACTAATATCTATGTGTTCAAATAAATAAATAAAGTGTCGACAGACAATGTGAATAGGTGAGCATCGTCGGAACGTCTTCGACACTATGGTGTACCTGAGAAAATGGTCAACATCATACGGAATTCATACGACGGAGTACATTACAAAGTTATGCATAGAGGACAGCTGACAGACGCATTCAAACTAAAGATCGGAGTCAAACAAGGCTGCTTACTCTCTCCCTTTCTCTTTCTTCTGATGGTTGACTGGATTATGAAAACCTCCACATATCAGGGGAAGCACGGGGTATAGTGGACAACTTGCATGCAACTAGACGATTTGGATTTCGTAGATGATCTAGCCCTTCTATCCCACACACATCAACGAATGTAGGTGAAGAAAGCCAGTGTAGTAGCAGCATGCCTCAGCAAACAACAGAAAAAGAAAGAGTAAATAACAACCAAATCACACTTGATGGAGCTTGGAAAGAGGTGGGAACTTTTGCGTATCTGGACAGTATCAGCAATAAACAAGTGGGATCTAATGCAGATACGGATTGGGAGAGTAAGGGCAGCATTCATACAGTTGAAGAACATATGGAACTCAAAACAACTGTCAACCAACATCAAAGTCAGAATCGTTAATACGAACGTGATATGATGGAAAGAAAAGTCAATATTCGATTAATTTACTAATTATGAGTTTTATTCAACATTACTTCTGTTTTGATTCAATGTAATGATTACTCAATGTAGTATTTCTTTTCTTTTCTCGTATGATGTTTTATTCTGTACAATATGCGATATTCTTGTATTCAATTGACATGAACTATGCTCTATATGTGATTTGTGATTACTGAGTATTTTTCATATATGTGATTTCATTCTAATTATTAATCGAAATGGGTGTACAATCAATATATAAATGAGTGTATTTTCGACTAAGGTCGTCGTCGCCATCATCATAGTGTTTTGGGGAAAATAAATCTTCACTTATACCAGTCTTGTGTTTTCACTTTCGCGTCGTGGGAATTTTGGAGGTCCTTTCGTTCCGAGTATAGGTGATCAGCGATTCCGACATAACAATCAGCCACGACCAGATACAAAAAGTAGCATTCTATTAACAAGATATAACAACTGGCTACTGGGTTTTTGGAAAATATTCACAAGATATAACAGAACGTCAGGACAGTTCTACTGTACGGAGCTGAAACTTCGAGAACTACCACAACCATCATCAAAAAAGTACAAGTATCTCTGAACAATTGTCTACTCAATATACTCAATGTCCGTTGGTTGGATATCATCAGCAACAGCCTACTATGGGAGAGAACAAACTAGCTTCCAGCTGAAGGTGAAATTGGGAAAAGACGATGATACTGGATAGGATATATATTACGGAAATCATTGAACTAAATCTCAAAGCAAGCGCTAACTTGAAATCCTGAGAGGAAACATTATGTCTAGGCATAAAATAAGAGACTTAATTAGATGTTAAATTTATTGATGTGATGGGCTTTTAATTTTATTATTACTCATTTGCTAACACTAGGTTTTCATAAGAATTTAGTTCTGTTCATTTACTTGTTATGCTTTTTGTTGTCAAGGCGAACTAGTTTATTATCTATGTATATGTACAACTTTTACATGACAGAAAAAAAGCCGCCTAACATCTCATTTACGCGAAATTGTGCAGTAAGTTTAGGTGTTGAAGAGAGTGTATACTTACCATCATTGTTCACTATTTGTAGTCACTGTAATTATTTTATGTCGAGCGGTAGCTTATTTAGTGAGTCACTCAGGTTCAAATTAAATTCCACTGTAATCTAGGCTATTGGATAGTTTCATCGAGTGTCAGATGTAGAGTGTGATTACAGTTTGAGCCTGCTACGTTTTAAATATCGAATCTGTATATTAAAAATACAAGCTTTGGAAATAAATATTAAGTAATAATAATGATGATCTTTATTTACCCATTTGTCTGCGTTTAATTTCTTTATTTTTTGTATTAATAATAGCTTCTTCCGAATCTCTGTTAAAGCTCAAGTTTGCCTTTCTCAAGAATTCATTAGAAATATAAAAAGTGTAAGTTAGATGGTTATTATCCCTTGTATGTACCATACTTTTCAGAATTTTTTACTTTATTACTGAATTTTGAAGTGTAATCTGTCCACTAAAATGAGTTATTATTATTATTATTATTATTATTATTATTATTATTAATTATTATTATTATATTATTATTATTATTATTATATTATTATTATATTATTATTATTATTATATTATTATTATTATATTATTATTATTATATTATTATTATTATATTATTATTATTATATTATTATTATTATATTATTATTACATTATTATTATTATTATTAATTATTATTAGTGGCTTTATTCAATATTATATTTTTGGTACAATATAGAATTCTCAGCACAAAGTATTTCAACAAGTTTCCCTTCCTTATTTCTTGATCAGTTCCTTGCGACAAATATTGAGTGGTCGCCAGTTAGATGTTAGCGGTTCAGGAATCGACAACTGATAAATGTATATCCTTTTCGATGCATATTACCAGTAACCATGATGTCTCTGATTGAGCTCTTTTGTAACTTGTACAGCGAAATGTCGAAAACTTTTCACAAACGCACCTGAATAGGTTATGAGACTAATAGACATAATGATATGTTAAAACAAACAAGAAAACAGATAACTTGTTGAAATATCCAGATGGCAGGAACAGGTAGCCCAGATATTCAAGGAGGCCGCCACTAATCGCATGTATTGAGTATCGTTTATTATTACTATATCACGTCTATTTGACGGCCACCATTACCTGAAGAGCTCAACAGTAATGTCTCTGATTGTGACAATAGTGTCAACATACGTTCTCATCTCACAGAAATCATTTTTTTACAGTTTCCATATGCTCCTTGTCGTGTACCAATTAATAAGAAATCTTCTTCAAGTGAGAGGATCCTGCCGATCTCCTTCAGTCACATAAAAATAAAATCAGACACATGTAAGATTGAATCCACCTGAAGCCCCCCAGAGATTACTGCCAGTCCCAAGTGTCGGTAGAGGAGGGTTGGTGTTATGTTTTATCTTATTACAACCCAACTACTCTGATCGTTTAGTATTCTTGGACACCACTTTACTCGACAAGTCCCCCAAAACAGAACACGGTTGAACGGGAACATAGTCATATTCCAAATAAAAAGGTTGGATCGAAGTAGGAGTCTCAATAAGAAAAACGTCAGTATACTTAGAATTTTTACATGAGAGGATTCTCGAGTCCTCTCAAAGTATCCGCTAACACTGATTGGTTAAGAAATAGCCAATCAGAGTGCCCCAACACAATCCTACACGAAACACTTTAGTCCAATCTATATCCCGTCAACACCTCTCCTGTGAACAGATTTGTAGGATAGGGTCACCTTGCAACCACGTGACTGGTCTGTACTTTCGATTTGTCCACCTTCTCGGCAATAAAGAAGCGGTATAACTCTTTGCTTACGCAGAGATTGGCCAGTCTGTTCCAGGGGTTTTGGTTTCAAAGGTGTCCAGCAAAACATCAAGGTGTTCTGTGTCGGGTCTCATTGCTGGGGATCAAAGCGGCTTTCAGTTGGTTAGCATGATGCACCCAAACCCTTGAACCAACTGACACCTCGTAAACCACACTTCCTCTCTTTTGCACTATTCGACCAACCATCCATGTAGGATGTTTTTCACGACAGTTCACAGCAAGTGCTTTTTAACTCATAGTGAACAATTGTCTTTGTGCCCCATGATGTCGATTGAATTGTTTCTCCATTGATATGTTTCGTTGAGGCCGGAGAACTGGCGTCGGACGAATGACGTCAAAATGTGTCTGTATTTTTCTGACAAGTAAAGCTTCTGCTAGAGAGATCCCGTTAAATAAGTGTTCGGGCATGATTGATTCTGTTCCGGAAGGTAGAGTACGTAAGCTGTGTTTCATTGTCGCTAACTTTTAATTCTGTAAGCCCGAAACGACTAAATAGTTGACGTATTTTTCTGACTGTGCAGCTTGCATTTGGATGTTCTACGAGAAAAATTTCTAGTCACTTTCTGTATGTCTTATCCACTTCCATCGTCTTTTCCTAATTCCAGATGGAAACTAGTTTGTTCTCTCCCACAGTAGGCTGTAGCTTATGATACCCGACCAACGGACATTGAGTATCTTGCGTAGACAACTATTTATAAATATTTGTACCTTTTCGATGATGGTTGTGGTAGTTCTAGAAGTTTCAGCTTCGCACAGTAGAACTGTCCTGACGTTCGTATTGATGATTGTGACTTTGATATTGGTTGACAGTTTTGAGTTTCATGTGTTCTTCAACTGTATGAATGCTGCCCGTGCTCTCCCAATCCGTACCTTCACATCTACATTGGATCCCCCTTGTTCATCGATAATGCTTCGCAGGTACGTGAAAGATTCCACATCTTCCAGAGCCTCTCCATCAAGTGTGATTGTGTTGGTATCCTCGTGTTATATTTGAGGATCTCGCTTTTTTCTTCGTGTATGGTGAGGCCTACTGATTCAGAGACTGATGCTCACTAATTGTCTTCATCTACGTTTGTTCGTGTGTATGGTATAGGAGAGCCAGGTCATCTGCGAATTCCGAATCTTGTAACTGATTCCGAACTGTCGATTGTATTCCATTTTTCTCTTACATGCCAAAGTCTTCATAATCCAGTTGATACACTAGAAAATAGAGAGGGAGAGTAAACAGCCTTATATGACTCCGATCCTCACTTGGAATGCCTCTGTTAGCTGTCCTCTATGCACGATTTTGCAGTGTACTCCGTCCTATGAATTCTGGATGCTAACTATGAGTAGTGACTTATAGTCTTTTCGATGAAATTGATTTCTCACATATGGCATGCTTGTGTTTAGGCCTTGTTCTGATTGATTACTAAGTGGTAACTGGCGTCACTTTTCTCCAATCTTTAGTGCTGATTAAATTAAATCAATCATGTGTCAATATGGCCAGCATTCTAATTGACTCAACACGTTCACTATTTTGATGCTTATCTGTGGTTGGTCAAAGTGATTATCTCAGTCCTACTGGTCAGTTGCTGCCCGAAGTGCTCAATGGTAACGTTTTAGACTATGAAGCTGTGTGATATCAGTTTGGATCCCTCAGGAAGCTCCAGTTTCCTCATGAATGCATTTATGGTTTTCTGACTTACGAAACATAGGTCACTCAGAATTTCCTGTTGACTAACTTGAATCGCTCAACAGTATAGGGTCTGTACTGGATCTTCGTTCTGCAGTTAATTTACATTTTTGTATCTTCTCTCCATATGTATATTTTTGTAGTTACATGCGAAAAAGTCAACAGAAGTATTTGAACAAGAAGAGTCAAATTCTAACGTTGCTACCATTATCACGACACAATTATCAAAAAGTCAATACATTTCAAATCTATTGTTAGAATGTAGTAATGCACAAAATTATTTAAAAAGTGCATCAAATCTTTTAATACCTGTTCTTCAATTAGCTTGTTTAAATCTTAAGTACCCATCTATTTTGCTCACACAAAAAACTAAGGACAAAGAATAACTACGTTTCATTTAATCTTTTCTCCACTTCCGATGATTCCCTTTTTTGTTTTGTGCGTAAAACGGTTTGTTTTTTTAACACAGGAAAAAATGATCCTCAGTCTATATTTCGTGATGGGAAATCAATAAATAACTATTTGATTACTGATGCTGTGTTTTCTGGATGAGACCAAATCTTGTGTATTCTTCCTACAATATGATCAATAATATTAATATATTTCCTTTTCTCACTCATCAAGAAAATTTACAGTTTTGTAGTTTATCATCAGGAACTGATCTTGGATAGATAATCATTTAAAACCAGCAAGGTTCCTGGTTCACAGTGTAAAACCATCCCCCCGTTAAAAAAAGTATCCGTAACTGATTATCAAAAGGAAACTGTGATGTAATAGTTTATTTCTAGCAAACATAGACTATTGGAAAACTCTTATAATCATGTGAAAGGAGTTTGCATCATTTATTCTTATCAAGATGCGTATACTTAATGACGCGGGGTGGGATCAAAACCGCTAACTCAGAGACGCAAGAGTAATAATCGGATTGTTTTGTGAGAAACTACTTTAGCATACTTTATCAGTGATACCTCGAACTCTACAGTGAAGTACATTCGGAATAAGTAACTTATAACATCAAGTGACTAATCGGAATTTCAAAAAACCAAAATAACTCCATTAAATTTAAGTTCTTTTTTATTATTATTAGAAATTAGTCATCGGTAAGCTCAATCTATGTTTAGATGTATTACCTCCGTTATCGACAGTACACACTAATAAAACACTGAATGAAGAAATACAATATACAGCAAAAATACACTTTATTCGTACAACACTGATTAATGTTTAGTTAACATTTGTAAGTAAATTCGACACATGATCTGCAAAATCCATCTTAATTTAATCTTATGATTATTTATATTTTGAAATTTAATAGAAGTCATAAAACAATTCGGGTCTATTAAGTTAAAACAAAGACGAAACTTATGCAGAAAAAAGGTTGTACAATTTCGAATAAGAGAGGAGAGAGTAGAATAAGATATTATCTTCCATAAATTAATGACAATATACACACATATAACTCTTTTGAATCAATGATTGAGTAAATTGACAATTAGATTACAGAAAGTGAAAATATATAATACTATCAAATGTAATAAGACAATATCATTCATCTAACAGCATTTTCTCTTTAGTAGACATCTATCTAGAAAAGATTCTAGCGTTTACGTCGTCTTCGATTTGCTTTTTGTGAACTACCGGGTTGCAAAGAGATTTCACATGTTTCGAGTTCATCTTTTGTCAGCTACACAAAATAAACACACAAAAGGGTTATAATTACTTTTTTCATGCACTTACGTCTGATATTTTCTAAAACGTTTTCTTAAATTAACATTTACTGTCAAAACAAGAATAAAACAGCTGAGGGTGCCGGGAGAGTTTGCAATGCTCAATCAGATCGTCATACCATATAATTTTGGTCATTTTTCTATTCATTTAATAAATGATTACCGGGATGTACAGGTTTTATTCTAGGAATCTGGCGTTATCAAGAACTTCCTAGTTATGAACATGTCACTAGTACAGCTCGCCATGCCAGATGAGATGCCGGAATATAGCGGACATTATGGATTGAGATAAAATCTTTTATGGGAATTAAGCTCTAATATGTAGCATACACAATTAATGAACAGTAAAGTGGCCGAAAGCGTTCGATAGAACATATTATTAAACGTTAAAAACGTTCCTGATAACCCGTTTGTAATCACAACAACATTGCTTAAAACGGAACAACGACGGATGACAAACAAGTACACCTAATAATCAAGCCTTGCTTTTACAGGCTCATCAATGACCTACGGAACTTTACCTAGTGTAAGATAACTTGTCGTGCCAATACGATATAAGACCAACTCACACTTATGCCAGGTTCAACGTTGATTGTGCGGGATATTCTGTACGTATGTAATTTCGTCAGCTAACCACCCACCCAGAAATAATCCTTCTATGCTGTTAACAATGTTGCAGCGTGGAAAGAGTTTTATTAGGTTCTACGTTGATATTACAAAGAAAGCTCGATCAAAGGACGATGTGATTAGGTGGACAGTTAACACTACAACTCCGCCTTGGGCATTTCAAGAGTTACAGCTATTCCGAAGTCACGGTAAAGGAGGAGGGTAGGAAATAGAATCAGCAACCCTATCCCGTAGAAAACAAACATAATACAAACCGCTAGTCAGAAAATATCACTTAAATCACGCGAATTTGCTCTGGGAGTTGAAGGGTCTTCATTTAGAAAAAGGCTTATGACCACTCACGATTAAAGCAGAGATTCTTCGGAAACCACGAGGCCGGTTCCCCTCCTAACAACCAGAGCAATAATTAACATAGGTACATAGGGGCCTGCAGGACCGTTGCGGTCGGGGACCTATATCAGTCGAGGATTAGCAGGTGTGAGTAGTCTAAAGTACACTTGAATCCAAGTTTTTCTTAATTAATATATAGCTTGTATTGGCTGTTCGAGTCTTCTGGTTATAATACATAGCTATTTGATGAATATATGCAAGTTTCATAGAAGCACGATATTTCCGTTTACAACGTTCTCCCAGTGAATATGAATTCATTTTCCCTACCATTAAGTATCTGTTGGAGTCAAGTGACATCATGGCCTGTTCGGCTAGGGGGGTCGAATGTTTATCCGAAAGGTACATCAAAAGCATCGACGATGCTATTAGTAGATATGCTGAATTGGCTCCAGATATACTAAGTCGGCTAGAATATCGTCCACGTCGGTATTTGCTGCAATATGCGGTTATTAACCCAAAAGAGGCAGAAGAAATTACATTTATTATTTATTTGAACACATAAATATTGGTACAGCGGGGCACCAAATATATATGCGCCACACAAAACAATGATAATTTGAAGAGGAGAAAAGAGAAAAAAAAGTAATGAACGTGGGGAATTAGAAAAAAAAAGAGAGAGAGAACAATGGTGGGGGAAATGGAAAGGTACAATCAGAAGAGATCTTTCAGTTAAGGAAGATACAACCACTTTTTATGAAGAAAGTAAAAGAAGGTTACAGCAGGATCGCCACTGGCTTCTATTCTGAGCCATATCTGATAACGTCTCTAGCCACTGCGATTCGGTGGCAACGTACAATTTTCAACCAGGCAGTGACTCGAGAACGTTTAGATAAAGCTGAATTTTTACCATAGGCGAGCTGCTGTCTGAGTCGAAACGGATACAAAAAGTAGAAATAGGAGATAGTGAATAAATGACGTAGTAAATAATAATAATAATAGTACCAGTCATTTCAATGTTAGTCGGAGAGAAACGAATATTTTCCATAAGCAGATAGTTCATCATGGTTTTAGTGTGTGGGCTGAGATACTGCCCGGATGCCCAAACCGAAGCAGGTGGTTTTCTTAGGGGGCCACACCCCGAGCCTTTGACCTAAAGGTCTAGTCCACAGGGCAGTGGAGCATCGTGAGGAGATGCAGTCCCATGGAAGCCGGTGACCAAAAGTTGGTTCATACGCTATTTGTTTCTTCAGGATATGAAATTACAAGTGGCTCTTGATTGTGCAGCAAAAGTTTCGCGGGTCACTTGAACGGTTTGATTTGCCAGGAGCTAAATATTGCAGCCATCCTAGTAGGTATATTGAACCGGTGACGATTTCTGTTAGTTTTTGAGGAATTTTCACTTAAGTCAAGGTCCCTGAGTCTGATAGAGGCTCACTCAGATTTATTTGATGTCAGAGTGACAACCTATTAGACTGGCCTGCTGAATTTCAGACAACCTCACACTCCTTTTGCGAAATACCATTTCCGTTTTGAACAAAGTTTGCTAGGAATGAAACGGATCAACGATCGTCTGATTATTACGAAAGTTGTCCTGAAGTCTAATGGAAGTCTGTCGATCTATTTTCTTAAACAACTTCAACTGTTTCTACGACGTGGTGGCTGGGCTTGTGTGTCTTCATGACCCGGTTGAGTAATATCGGCTGGAACATTCATCCCTTTAAGTATTATCAGGTCAAGAGCGTTGATTGAATAGCGCAAATTTATGGTCCGAGAGCTAATGTGTATTATGGATTTTGCAGGGAAGTGATAGTATGGTGTATATTACTTTTGTCGACAGACATAATTAGTATGTAATACCAATCGGAATGGGAAACCTGGCAGCAGAAGGCTAAGGAGATTGAGTTGAAGAAAATAGAAAGAAATTGTGAAAAATCAGATAGAAAGTGAAGGACAATTGGTGGAAGATTTACAAATGAAGTATTTAATGAATGGTTATCATATTTTAGCAAGATATTTCGTAATTTTGTATTTAACAATAAATTGATTTTCCCCACATGTATTCTCGTTCATTAAAATGGCAGTAAATTTTCTGTATAACATTTATACTCTATCTGTGAAGTGCCAACCGAACACTAATGAACCAAAAAGCAGGAATTTAATTTCAAATGAGGTATTGATTACTTTTGAAACACAAAAGAGTAAAAAATTCTTTCAATTAAAGGGAAGACAAGGAGTCGTCGTCACATAAAACGTATGCATGGAGGGGTTTCCACACATTCACGCTACAACGTATAGAAAGGACCTTACAGCGAGTCATCTTTCAAACGACTAGCATCCTTAGAGATGCCAGCTTCTAACAACAGAAGGATGGAGGGTTGAAAAAGATAGGCTTTGAAATTGAATAACTCACAATGCCCCATAAATTTGTCACCGACCTTGTTGTTTAGAAAAATGAGAGGATGAAATGCGAACAGCCAATAATTACACCGAATTATTGAATACAGAGTGCCCACGTAGGGGGAATGTTGGAAAATCCTAATTTCAAACCAATGAAGATGAGCTTCATAATCTTGAGAAATCGAATGGCCTATGGACCAATCTGTAGTCACTGAGTATCATAGGATCTCATGTTACGACTTTGCTTCACTTTTCTGTATATTAGACATCTAGGTTAAACGCTTGGAGAGTTTACACCCTAATAAAACCACCTCCTGTTTTGGTGTCCGGACAGCATCCAGTCACCTCGCTAATATCACAACGAATCATTATGAAGAAACCATTCTATTCACCCTACTTAGCTACCTACTCAAAGGATACAAGTGTATTTATTCTCTTAATTGATAACTTCC